CGAATAGTCCTAGCTTTGTATTGACCGCCGCCGGAGTAACCTTCCTTCTACCATTAACCATTATGACTACCACCTATATACTCACTATCCGTAGCTTGGTACGTCAGATGCAACAGGCAAAGGCGGCTCAATTGTATCCTAACAATGCAATCGCAACGACACCGCTAATCACTGCGACATCAAGCTCCAGTGGGCCTACAAGTCGAAAAAGCTCAACCCTAAGCGTAATAAACCTGGCAAGCGGTACGGGAATCACAGTTTCACCAGTAGTAAAGAAGTTAAAGAGATGTGGAAGTGCGATAGAAGCAAGCCACGGTACAATGACAATTGGACAGACATCACACCCGGCAACTGGAACGCAAGTACTTTTTCGTACACATGGAAAAAAGTTGGGGTCAAAAGCTGGTTTGACAACTCGGCCTAGTCTGCAAGTGGTAATTCAAGTGGAAACAGGGCTGCTTGATATGAAAGCCCCGGGGCATTCAGATGTTGAAGGCTGTCTAGATCGTGGTCAACGACTAAAACGACAAATGCGTAGCTCTCTGCAACCCTGGATCGGCTTATGGCCCAGATTATCAATTACTGGTGTGCGTCACGGACGATCAGATATCGGCATTCCGAAAAGCAAAGCTTCGATCTGTGAACAAAGAAGAACGATGGCAAATTTGACAGTGCCTGGAAGCCTAACTTACAGTCCAACATCGGAGGAGTCCAGCGATTGGCCGACTTGGAGGAAACGCTCAACTGCCTCTGTACTCTCATTCGCCCAGCAGGGACAACAGCAGCAACCTCAGAGATCCGCCCTTGAACGTATCCACAGGGGTCAACGTGCTGTACAAGTGATAGGAGTCCTATTTGGCGTATTCTTAGCCTGCTATCTGCCATTTTTCTTTGTTTATTTATTAGATACTCTGTGCGAGGCCTGTCAATGGTGGACGCGGCCTGCAATACCTCACACGGAATGGCTAGGATACCTGGGATCAATGCTTAATCCATTTGTCTATCATTTTTTCAATCCAACCTTCAGACGCACCTTCCGTCGAATGATGCATTGCGAATGCCGTAGACGACCAGCAGAATACCAGGCCATATGGTCAGCCAAGGCTCACCAATGATTGGTGGACGCCTCAACAAATTCTATTAAACAATAAGAATTTACCATATGCATCTCAATCTTTTATGCACCGATGGGTAAAGAAACAGAAAAGTTAGCGCATGTGAAAAGTATGGATACTTTAAACAAAATAAACTATCTCCTTGAAAAATGGCACCGGCCTATGATAATTATGCAGCTGATAGTGTGTAGAATAATAAGATGTAGTTAAATATCAGATATAAATAAAAGGGATACTCAATCAATTAGTTAGAAAAAGAGGAATCAATTAGTCAATGAGAGGCATTTTAGAAGTAATATACGAAAAAAAGAATTATTTGTAAAGCCAGGGCTGTTCAAAATGCTCGCATATTCAGTAATACTAATTTTAAGTTAAAAAAACATGCTACTACAAGTAGCCATTATTAATGAAGTATAAAGATCTAAATGCCCTGATCACTACAACCTAATATTCAGCTAAATAGGGAAAAATTAAATAGAAATAAGACACAATAAATAGCTTAAGATAAAGTTTAAGGTTGAAACGAATTATACCATAGAAGTAAAATGAGGTCAAGTTTTATCAATAAGCATAGAAATAATAAAGGATTTCGATGAATCTTCTGATAAATCTAAGTCAATTAGCTTCATTCCGATTGAAGTAGTGTAGGAAGAGGTTCTTTCTACTGTTTGACCTTCACATGCCGGCGAGGCCTTCTAAAAAAGCCACGTCCGTTTCAGAGAAAATAAATTAAGCTTTAATCTAAGAGGTTTAGTTACCATAGGTCGCATAAGGTGATGAACAATTGAGATTAATTTTACGACATTAATATGGATAGGCCTAAAGTTTACACTGAATTTCACTTAGCCTTGCCTCCCGAAATAATCAGAATATCTATTGAGAAACAAAATTAGGTAAAATTCAAAAAAATCGTATTATTGTGGGAAAATTAATCAGTTTTTTATGCTCTTATGTGACCAATGGTGCCTGGAATTTTGTCTCCGATTTACAGATTTTCCAGAAACCTACCTCCTATGAATATAATATTTAGTCCGTCAAGCTACTGTCAGCTAATTAACCCATCCCTAACTGCAATAGATATTTTTAATATTTTAGGGATATTAAAGGGTTTTATAGATTAAGTTCCATGTCGGTCGATGATTGTATGCGCAGGTGTGTATCTATGTATTATGATCCGACTCCCTTTTGGACGAATTATGCTACGAGACCCACACTATAACCTAATGGAAGATAAAAGAATGGATGGAGAATGATGTGTTAAAGTTGCATAAGGAGCAGAAGTTGTGCAGGACCAATTGTTTAT